ATGTTAAAACTAATTAAAGAATTTTGAATTTTGATCATACCGGATTCTTGGTCGAGCTTCATACTCCTTGCCCTGCCATCAGCTGAAGTGTTTACATGGCTAGGAGACCATGTCACAAAGAAATCCTTGTTGAAGTCCCCTGTTGAAACAACAGAACCATCTGTAATTCGAATCGATGTCAAAGTAAGAAAAAGCCCAATAAAGATGACAATTCTGTGATTATCACTCATGATTTAACTCTGTTTTTTTTTTTAATAGTGTGTAATGGAGGAATATGATAGCAACATGTTGAAGAGAGCTATATATAGGTATTGCATGGGAGGGCGGTGGAAAATTGGAACAGAGAACATTCAACCGAAAAAAGAAGAGAGAAAATGTGTGATAGAAGGAAGGAAGGTTTTGTTTAAGCAGGAATATCTTTAGGGGGAAGCAAAGAAGTGTTTGGTTGTTAGCATCTTATGAATGTAGTTTTTATGGGTTTTTTATGGTCCCCATAAGGATGTGATTATAACTGTCAACAAATCATAATTTTCTTTTCATTTGGCAGAAATAGTTGACCAAGAAGCTTAGATAACTTGGTGATTGGGCTTTCTAATGTGCTGAGGATACTCATTAGGCTTACTAAATAAGAGCTTATATATCTTTCTGTCATGTTAGCAGAAAGCTGAAGAAACAGAGAAACTGACAAGGTTTTTTTTTTTTTTCTCTTTTGTAGCTAGGATGACTTAGTTATTCAAGCATCCCTTTTACACTCCATGAGGCCTTTAAGGTTATTCTTTCCCTCCTTTTGTAGGGTTGTGCATGCATGAGTTGGATTTCCTTTTTACCCATTTTTTTAAACTACTAGCGAAGCCTCAAGTCATCAACTGCACATATTGAATTAATAATGGAACTCATAGAACATAGTTATAAACTTTGTATATAAATTTTGAAGAGATTTCAAATTCGAATCTCCCCGACTCGTTAAATAAAAGTAATTAAGTAAAAATGTTACGGTGTTAATTATGACCATGGCTCTAATGTGATTCTACCTTGCTGCCAAGGTTACAAAATGAAGACATATGGACCAATTATCGTTGACAAGGAGAACATTTGTTAATCATTACCTTTAGGCTTGGCATTACAGAAACGCCAAAAAGAAAAAGGGAAATCCAGATTTTTAAGCTGACTGTGGCGTTAATCCAACTGCAAATGATTACTAATTGAACTAATTAAATTATTAATCTACTGCATAACTTACCCACTACTTCTTCCACCCCAACTAAAGAGAGGGAGTGGGTTATTTTGGTAGATGTTGGAAATGTGACTTTTCCATTATGCTTTACACGGCATATAACACAAAATTCAACTTTGGGTTCGGGTCGAGGATCTAGGGTCGCAATATATTTAAGTTACCATATTACCCTTAATAAATAAATATATTTATTTCTTAATATTTGTTAATTAAGGATATTTTTTAATATTTTGAATGTTTTACTATTTTCTACATTTCTTTTTATATATGTAAATTATTGGTACCTTTTTCTACGCATGATTTATAAATAAATAAAAATTACTTTACATGATTCAATTCCATTGTAGATTTATAAAGGTCATCAGGCCGCATTTATAGAGCGTGGAGAAGGAATGGCCTGATGGCGGTAAAGAAACCCAAAAATTATTCTGAGATTGTTATCATCCAGGCCCATTCGGGGGCTGGATTGTTTTTTTTATATTCAGAATTTGGTGGAGGAATTTGAATTTGATAGTGCATGTTGTGGGGCCCACTTACGAATTTCAAATGTTGCTAGTAGGACATAGACTAGGGGTGTGCGAAATCCAAATCAAACCAATCATACAGACCAAATCACCCTAATTTGAGTTGGATTTGTATACTCATTTGTATGGGATTCGATTCTTATACTAAGCTGGATTGGATGTCAAATTCTTCAAAATAAATTTGGATTTGGATTGGAACCAATGCCCATCCCTAAGATAGATTCCTCGATGAATTAGGTTAGTTCTTCCTCAGGATCCACATTGCAAGTACTTGTCCGTTACCAACTTTGCCGACGGCAAAATTCACAAGTTGAGGCTGCCTAAGCCAATTCATGGAAGTCGGTTTTATGGCTCTTCAAGAGGTTGGTTAATTATGATCCAAGAAAAAAGATTGAATTCTAAAATGTTTCTGTTCAACCCGGTTTCAGGAGCCTTATGCCAACTTCCACCATTGGCGACAATTCCATCTTTCAAAGAGTTTGTAGAAACAGAATGGGATTTGTGTGGTACCAGCTTTTTCTTTCATCACATTGTGCTAACCATGGAGTGGCTTCCAGGTATTAGATGAAAATGAATCATTGCCAATTATTGTTTTCTAGTACTGGTGAGTTATACTCCTTGGCTATTAGTTATATTAAGAGTGAGCTCATCCAACCTCGCACAGAAAAATTTGGAGATGTGGAAGTGGAATTGATCTTAGTCTATGATAACGAGGGGTAGATTGTAAGTGAAATTGGAACAGAGAATCATCACGACAACCATAAAAAAATCGACGGAAAATGGGGTCAAACCTGAAGGACTATTGGCCAGAGTAGTAGGGTTGAAGCTTCTCGGATTTGCATCAATTGAAGGTTTCGCAAATTCAACCCCTTCATAAACTTGCATGACTCGTCGTTTGTCTTTTACAGAAGGAAAAAGAAAATGCAAAAAAGGAGTGATCTTTATCTGATTTTCTTGCCCCTCACTTGAATTTTACTTAGGAATTTTGAAAAAAGGAGACTAATTCTAAGAACTAAAGAACAAAAAAAGGGAAAATTTAAGACGCTAGAAGAGTAAAAGGAGGGGGCTGAACACCAAGAAAAGAATCAAAACCTTTAAAAGGGTCAGTTTAGGCTTGTAAAACTTTCTTGGTATTGAAGATTGAATATTTTGATTATCTATTAGATGAGAGAGAGTCAGGAATGAGATGAGAGGGAGGTATTATTTAATAAATTGAATTATCTATTAGTCAAAACCTCACACCTTAATGGAAACTAGCCTCTCTGCACACGCTTCCATGTGTGCGAGAGGCTTTTTTTTAATCACGCGCGACTTACAAAGTTTCGTAAATATTTTTTCGCAATTGTATTTATATAGATGTCCATTTCAACAGTTTCATATTTTAATCGCGCGTGTGTGATAAATCGTCGTCTTAAGAGTTTTCCTTTATCGTCCGTATTTTTCTCGACGTCCATCTTAATAGTTTACACGCTATAAAATAAAAAAAGAAACTGCTAAGATGGATGTCTAGAAAAATACGGGCGATAAAGGAAAACTCTTAAGACGACGATTTATCACACACGAGCGATTAAAATATGAAACTGTTGAAATGGACATCTATATAAATACAATTGTGAAAAAATATTTACGAAACTTTGTAAGTCGCGCGTGATTAAAAAAAAGCCTCTCGCACACGCAGAAGCGTGTGCAGAGAGGCTAGTATTAATAAGGCCTATGAGATATCCCTTTCTCAATGATTTATATTGTCTGACAAACTTTGCTTCTTTAGTGCTCTGCCTACTCTTTTCAACTCATTCAATTGATTTCAATTTGATTGATTTTAAACCTGCATTTCTCAACTTTAACCAGTTGTCTTCACCACCCAAATAAAATGTCCAATTGGTTACATGTTTTTAATTTTGGGTTTTCTTTTCTTTTGTTTCTGCTGAATTGATATTATCCCCATTTTGATGTTGCTCCTAATTTCATGTTACAGGATTCTCTTCCAATGATTTATCCATTGCTAGGTATGGGTATACGCCCACGTTCACCTACCTTTACATTACTTTCTTTGTTTTCTAATTATACTTTTTTTTTTTTATAGCATGTAAACTGTTAAGATGGATGTCTAGAAAAATAAGGTTGATAAAAGAAAATACTTGAGATGGTCATCTAAAAAAATACAATTACAAAAATAGAAAAATTAGAAAAATTGTAAGTCACACATAGCGCATGATCCCAAAAAAATCTCCGGCACACACGTGGGAGGCTGGTGGTATTATAAATAAAGAGGATATAAGCAACATTACAATAACAGATTCAATACTAATAATATACAGTTTGACCCAAAAAAAAACTAATATTATACAGAAAAGTTTAATTAATAAGTTAATATATAAAAAAAACTAATAATATATAGTTTAATTAAGATTTTGCATGCCACAGTCTTGGAGAGGCTTGGACATAGAGCCCCCTTTTAAATTGGAGGGTGAGCATGGTACTTTGTTGTCATCACTCAGCTTGAACATGTAGCCAAAGCACAGCAGAAAATATCAAAGCCTCTCTATAAGCAAAGTCCTTCCCCCACACAACTCCTTGGACCCGCCTGTTTAAATCAACAAATTTATTTAGAATTCTCCATAATTTATAAGTCTACTCATTCTTTGTGCATGTTTTAATAAAATGTGGCATGTGTTACTGATCATATCAACATTAATTTATTTCTTACACTGAAGGCTGTGAATTTGAAAGGGCTTTCCTGTTGGAAAAGATCATTTTCATCAAGCCATCTCTCTGGCTGAAATTCTTTTGCATCATCACCCCATATATATATTTCATCCTGCCCATGCCGTAAGCATGGTATGCCACCACATCACCTGTTTTGACACTAAATCCATCTGGCCAGGTATCATCAGAAAAACAAACCTTCCCATTCTACGACAGCATCAAACAAACTTGTTAAAAGTAATTATAAAGATTCAAATTCAGAAAGGTCAGCAGACAACGTTGCTTATATCAGCTTAGCCTTGCAATTGTGTTTGAATTAGAATTACCAGTGGAAGAGCAGGGTACAGCCTAGTTGTCTCATTCAAAACTGCAAGGAGATATTGCATTTTCCCAAGGGCCTCTTCAGTAAGGTTGTCTGAAAGCCCATCAATGCTTGAATTATCTTTCAGATTTTTTGCTTCTCTAACTTCCTGTGAAATCTTTTCTTGTATACGAGGATGCTTGCAGAGCATATAAATAAACCATGTAAGAGTGCTATCCGTTGTGTCTTTTCCGGCTGCAATGAGGCTGGGGACCATGTCTCGCAAGTACTTTGGATCAGTCTCTTCCAATGCCAAAAGCCTTTAAACAATGTCTACTTTCTTCAACTGCCATTCATTCAATTATATTAATCAATAATAACATGAAATTAATTCAATCCAGGACAAACATGACTTAGAAGGTAACTCACAGCTCGTAGCTTACATTCTGAATTATGAACTGTTTCAATCTTGTCTTTGATTAATTTATAAACAAATTGATCTACGGTTTTCATATTCTTCCTTAATGCTACTTCTGATCCAATGTTTAAGAACCTTCTGATTTTCCAGGAGAAATCAACATAACCATACATAGTGCTTTCGTTTGCCACATCAAAAGAATTGGAAAACCGGGTACCTTCTTCATTTGTCCCACACAAAGTGTCTAGTTCGACATCAAGGAGACTGAAAGAGAAACATATCCACCAAAGTCTTACCTGCACATAATCTACAGCATTAACTGAACCAAACAGAATAGATCACCTCAGTTGCAACCACTACCACGTGTCTAGAATTGTATTTGGAACAAAAATTAGAGCAGTTTCGAGAGAGAAGATTCTTACCTGATGCTTTGCCAAAAGGGGGGGATTCTGGACCCCCAACTCCAATAAGTTAGAACAAAATAGGAGAAGAAACCGAAACAGCTATAAAGAACAGAAAGAAAGGAAGATAAAAAAAATATAATGAACTCATTTGTGAAGATTGGCGAAGAAGTTTTGATTATGCGGTTGAAATTTGGAACTGCAACAGTTATGAGGACATAGCAGCAGTTATGTGGAAATAGAACTCCAAGTCTAACGTGTGATTTTCTTTTCTTTTCTTTTCTTATTCCTTATTCCTGATGCTTCCCCACCCTTCTCTCTGTTTTGAGTCTCTACTGCGCTGCTTTCTCCTCCAGCAAATGACCCACACCATATCTTTTTCTAAAGTCAGCTTTCATCCTTTCTAAAAATGCAATAGATATCTGTTTGCCAACAACACAGTACGCAGCAAATCCCATAAAACACACTTAGATGCATACAAAGGAGGAATTAAACTAATTAAATCGAAAAATTGAAAAAGAAAAATAATAATAAATATCTTGTAGATACTCTAAGATAGGGGAAGTCTTCCCCTGCTTCTTACACAAAAGAAAAGAGATAAACTTCAACAAAGGTGGAGGAATTCATTGTGTGGAAGAAGACGGAGGGCATGAATGGATGAATAGTGTTAGCATAATCAAATTAAACCGCAAGGCCATGTTTCAAAGATAAAGAGAAACATCAATGCAATGCAATCAAACTAGAGGAGAAGGGAAAATAATTAAAAATCAAAATCAAATCGAGAGTAAATAAAATTAAAAATCCAAAACATACTGAAGAATTTAATTGTCAACCAACCTGTTGCCGAGTATCTTCACAGGTCTTCCTTGCACAGAAAAACTAAAGTCATTGACAGGAAAATAAAGAAAACCATTTGGCGAACCAAAAACAAAACCAAAATGAGAGAGAGAGATTCATACCATTCACATCAAACCCATCAAATCTAAATGATCTTCATTGGTGCTAAGGAGAAAGAGCATATATAATCAAAAATTAGAGATAGTAAACAGATCAAACCTAAATGCTTTCTCATTGAAGCTTCGCAGGAAAAATAAAATTAAACAAAGAGCATAAATTGAAGCAAAATTCCATCAGGAACCAAAAATTAGAGGGAGAGAGAGAGAGAGATTCGTACCCCTGACATCTTGATGCTCTGCAGAAAGAAGATTCATTGAAGCAAAAAAACTGAAAGGAACTACTGTGTAATGGCATGAGGATATTGGGTCGTGTGGGAAGTGTTAAAACTGACATGAACTGCAGCGGATTTGAGTTGGTTTTCCAATTTGTTTTTTAATTTGTCTCTGCGTGCTTCAGTTCTTCTTCTTTTCTAGGCAACCGTTGTTCGTGGGTTAAACCGTTCTTCACCCTTCTCCTGTGGTAGCACAGCACGACTCTTTTTTTCTTTTTCTTTTTTCTTTTTATTAAGTCAGTGGTGTTTTACTATTTCATCATCTCTTAATTAAAATAGTGTGTTTTTAATTTTTTCTTTGACAAAAGGATATTTTCGGGGTTTTTGAATGTTTCACCATTCTCTTCCTTTTGCTTTATATAGATAGATAGATAGATAACTAAATTAATTAAATAAAACTAAATTAATAATCAAAACTAGTTAACTAAACAAATTAGAGACGGAAAGGGAAACTTAGTAAAAGACTCAAGTGTCTTTAAGCAAGGGTATTCTGGGTATTCAACCTTTAGATTATTGGGCCCGCATTTTTGAGTTTCGGCAAAGGAAAACAGCATGGGCCGATCCAATGGAGCCCAAAAAACTCAAAAACAAGTCTCGGGTTCTTTTGTTATCATTTTCCAACATCCATTTTGCTGCCATTAGACCCTTTTTTTTTTCTAAATATTTATCGCAACACAAAATAATTTCAAATTTATTTAGGTAAAAATCAATTTAATGATTAGGCGTGAGTAAAATTTGATTTCAAATTATATCAAATCCAAAAAAAATGTTATTAAATGACCACATTATTTTTCACTTTTGGGTCTGAAAACAAGGCAATTACTAATTACTACCTATTGGCTCCTAGTAGCTTAATTGGAATTGGATCCGGTCATCCCCCACTGAGGTATAGAAAAACACGGACACTCTCTCTCGCAATCTCTTCCTCACAGTCTGTGACAGAAAACTGCTTTGACATCCACAAGCCTTGGCCTTTTACTTTCCCACTCTGCACGTTGACTCCTACTGCTTTGCTTCTCAGGTACTTTCCCCTTCCCCTCCATCACCTTTCCTCCTTGCTCATTCCCATTTTCTATTTTCTCCGGTAACGCCTTTTATTCATTTCTGGATTAGTATAAATTTCCTATCTTTGGTGTCTATGACTGTTGCAGAGCTCTTTGGTGCTCACAATTTACTATTTTTGGAGATGGGTTTTGCTTGTGGATCAATAAAGTTGGGATTTTTTAGGTTTAAGTTTCGTGGGTCAATTTTTTTTCAGTATCTTTCTGATTGAGCGGTGTTCTAGGGTTTGCTTGTGGCTTTACTTCGTTATCCAATTAGGATTTCCATGGGAACTTCACTATTGTTGTTCTTCATTTTTTTTCCACCAAGTTTCTGGCAATAGATTTTGTTTCTTAAGCAAAGCAACAACTATGAGGAAGAAAATGGATTTTCTTAGTTCTGAATTTCTTCTCTTTTGTGTTATGATTTTAGTGTATTTGGATCAATGTGGTGTTTTTATGTCCAAGCATGAGGAAAAACAGATCAATTTCTAACGCCGTTACTGTCTTATGCTCAAATCCAATGGCTTCTCTATGAATGTTAATCGAATTTGAGAACGAACGTTCAGTTTGGGACACAGTGAGAGTTGAGAAATCAATTGGGCATAATATGTTTTGACAATGTTTGCTTCTATTTTAAAATGCAGCTTTAAATTTTTATATGATGAAACTTTGATTTGTGTTCAATACTTTTAATTTGATTGAGTTGAATAGGTTGAGTAATCTTTTTAGTTTATTAGTTTTATATTTTGGATTATAGGCAGGTTTCTGACACGTGCAATGTTTGCAAATAGGTAGAAGTAAAGATAGGGGTAGGGTACTCTAGGGGAAGTACATCATGATCAAGCGGACTCATAGTAGGAACCAGAAAACCAAAGGAGTCAGGGTGAAGCATGTTCTGCAGATTTGTCTACTGCTTGGGGTCTGCTTTTGGTTAATCTATCAGGTCAAGCATTCCCATGATAAGAAGGCGGCATTAGCTGAGAAAAATGCAAAATCCTCAATCAAAAATTTGAGTGATGGTGAGCTTCTGAAACTTGGGAGGAAAGACCTTCCTCACCAGGAAGTCATTAAAAATGAGAAACAACAGGAAGAGGAGGAAGAAGAAACAGGTGGAGAGGAAGAAGAGAAACATTTAGTAGAAGTGCGAGAAGAAGAGGATCAGAAACATGAAGTAGACGAGCGAGAAGAAGAGGATCAGAAACATGAAGTAGGAGAGCGAGAAGAAGAGGATCAGAAACATGAAGTAGACGAGAGAGAAGAAGAGGATCAGAAACATGAAGTAGACGAGCGAGAAGAAGAGGATCCGAAGCATGAGGCAGAAGAGCAAGAGGAGGAAGAAGCCAAGAACGAAGATATAGAGGATGAGGGAAGAGGAGCTGGAGATGATGAGATAGATGAAAATGAGCAAGAGAAAAAAGAAGGGGAAGCAGATCACGATGAGGACATTGTAGATGAAGAGAAAGAAAGAGAAGATGAGGGGAATGAGAAGGATGGTGATAAGAATGAAAGTGAAGAGAGAGAGCATCAAGCAGAAAATGAGAATTCATTGGATGATCAGGATAATGATACCCATGACAACAATGCTCATGAGGCACGAGAGGAAAATTACAAAGGGGATGATGCTTCTAGTGCAGTGACCCATGATACCCAAGTAAGTGCCGAAAACTCAAATGAGAACTCAGAAGCTAGTGCTCTAGAAAGGGATATAAAATCTAATGACAATTCACGAATGGTTGATGGTGTAATGGCTGAAAATGGTACTTCTTTAAATGTAACCGCAAGTGAAGAGAAAGTTAATGATGCTATGTCCAATCCTGTGGATAGCTCACTTTTGAATGCAACGGTGAAAACAGAGTCTAATGCTCTACCAGAAGCACGCAATAACTCAACAGAAATCAATGGGGCAACTGATTCGTACCAGCAGAACGTAACAGAAACTGTATCTGAGTCAGTTCACTCTCAAAATGAAACGTTGGATGGGACGACTACTGGAGAGGGCATGACCATACAAACCTTGGTTGTGGAACAGGCTAATAACACAGCTTCTCAGAACAACCAATCTGACTCAAATTCAACAATTTCTACTAAAATTGAGAGTGCAGATGGGGTATCGGGAGAATCATCTAACTCCTCTAAAAAGGTAGAGACCGATGTGTCAGAAAATATCTTAAGATCTGATGGAACAGCTGAAACAGAGAATGGTTCTAGTTCTCCAACAATCAAGGAGATCACAGATACCTCTCATAATGAAGAGTCTAATGGTACCAGTGAATCTGGCAGGACAGATGAAGGTTCAGACCCCACAAATGTGACGGAGGATGTTGTTCAGCATGATCCAATTGATTCTTCTGATTCCCATATTGCCGAAGCCGAGAAAGAGGCTCGCACAGATCTGGATACATTGCCAGAGATAAAAACAGAGGGGGATGAGAATGGAGAGGCTGCAGCAGAATGATGATTGTGGTATTTGGGTTCTTCTGGTGCTTACAGTTTTCATGCTTGCCTTTGCTTTTGATATGAAAAGCAGTTAGGTTAGTGTGTGTGAATTTTAATCTGTGGCTAGAAAATCAATATAGCAGTTAAAATGTAGGCTAGTTTATATCAGCAGCAGGTGCAATCTGTAAAACTAAATTCAACATTCCACTGTACTGTTTATTTCCACCCTAATCTTTCTTTTCATGTATTCGTTTTATGTGCTGTTTCTTTATATTGTAAGCTCTAGGGAAGAAGCTCATGATGCATAAAAAGGAGAAGTGAATTGTTTGATTACCCCAGTTGAAATTTTGGATGTCATATGAATTGGAAAAAGAAAAAAAAACGAATTGTTTTGGTGGAGAGAGTTTAATTGGATGGTTTGTGCTTTGCTGTTGATGCTTAAGAAAAATGTTTAGTCTCCTAAGCAACTCTCACATGTGTTATTATCCTTTCATAATGCTAAAGCATGCATCTATTATTATTCCTTATGTTAAATTAAACCCTTTGTCTGTTAAGCAGTTTCCTGTGACCTGCTGGAAAACGCAGTTTGTCTAAACGCTATAAACAAAAACTGGGTATAAATCTACCCATGTTGGCATTCATTCAAATGCTTGAAACCATTCTAAAGTTTTCTGCAATGTAAAGCTGGGCATATCAATTAGGTTAATGACTAATCTTGTGTGCAAAAAATAAAACGAACTTTGTAAGCATGGCCATCGTGGACTAAAATGCATCTTGTAGCTCTGAAAATTGCAGTCTCCATATGAAACAGATGAGCTCTCGAAGAAAATTCTATGCTTATATTGAAGTTGTGTTAGGTTTTAGGCCCTTTATATGTTGCTTGTATATTAAGTTTTTAATTTTAATTTGGTTTTGAAAATGACATTGCTGCATGACAGCCAAACCCAATTGATGAGATGAGATTGTGAGTTGTCTAGCATAAATATCTGTCAATTTTTACACCAATATGAGCATATTCTGAATCTTATAGAGTATGATGTGGACAGCAGATCTGGTTTTGGTGGTTGAATTGGTGTCTTCTTATTAGTTGTGAGTTGAGTCACAAGGTACATGATTTTCATTGAGTTGACAAGAACCCAATTCAGATTTGGTCCAAACTTCACATCCTATTGGGATAAAGACTTCAAACTCATCCAGAAACCCAACAGGTCGTACTCCAGCTAAACCCTTGTGCTTCAAACAAACGAATTTTTCCATTATTGCCCTTATACCCAAAAAAAATATTGCACTGAATTGATGGTTACATGATGAAGGATTGACAATCTTTGTTTCTCTAATTTGGACCTTAATTTCAACAATTGTCAGCAACTCAAAATGTTGCCTGGTCACCAGTGTTGAGTTAGACTTTTACATTTTACGCCAAATTTCAGTGCAATAGCAATAGCAGCTGTCAAAAATTACAATTACAATTACAGAGAACAAATCACGGTTTAAGAAAGGGCTTGATCAACATATGTGGAGAAAGCTGAGGCAGGAACCAACCAGACACTTTATTCTGATTTCAACGAAGGCTGAGGTTGATGTGCATTCCACTGCAACAACATCCATATTATCGATGTGCCTGGTCAAGATCACAAGAGAATTCTTTTACTACAAATATTATTGGTTCCTAAGTTCACCATGATTATATATAGCTAGTCACTAGAAAGAAAAACTTGGAACTATTTGTCGTCGGATGTTATAGCATACAAATCGTTTGTGAACAGTTGAAAGATGAATATATTTGATTCCAATTAAACAGGGTTACTCCGCGATAGCATGTGAAGACACAAATCTCCAATTCTTATGCTATGAGATTCCAGTCTTCCTATCTCTTAAAAATAATTTTGCTTCAGATGAAGCTAGCATCATCATAATCATTATAGACAATTTAATTCTTTCATTTTTCTGATAAGCATCATCATATTGACAGATTTATTCTTTTGTCCCAAATAGTGCATGAAGCCTCACTTTCAGTATATTTATTCTTGTACCATGGTGCTTAGAAGTCAACAGCCACATTCAAGTGCTTTGAAACATGTAGCATATAAAAGAGAAAGATGAATACATCTATTGATTCAAAATGAAGCCAAGTGAATTGATTTGATACCTGCAAAGAAGCCGACAGTTGAGAGATTTGCAATGGCCATCGTATGATATATTAGGTATTCAGTCAAGAAATGACCAAGTGCATAGACAAATGATAGAAAGGTAGCTAGGTAGAGAGGCTTGTTCTCAAGGTTAAAAGCACAAATATAGCAGAGTGTGCAAGTAAGAAGAGTCCATACACCAAATGTCCTTCCATGAACTTCAGTCACTGGAAATAAAAATACGAATCAAAAATGCAAAACATGAAAATCAGAAAAACAGTATAAATTAAAAAGAAAAAGAAAAATCTAATAGACTAATTCCATTTTGTACATTCTTCATTCTATATTAGAAGCACACTGTTATGGACTTAAAGGCAAAGACAAACCACAAAGAAAGTTTAAAATGTTGATCCAGCAATGAGCGAGCAGCATTAGGTCAAGTATGCCATGCTGATACAAGCAACTCATGATATCAGAGAAGCAAGTTCTAAATTTTAAATGCATAGTGTACAATTGTATATAAGTAAGGGCCTAGGAGGATAGCATGCCCATTGATTACAAAAAGCAAGTTTTAGGGTAATTTCTCAAGATGAGATATGCACTTCTGTATGACATTGACATCAAATACAGTAACACTTAATATTATCTGAAATCTCATTTAATCTGAAGGTGAAATCAGCCTATCATATTATGCATTTGCAAAGAAAGAGAATTTATTGATGGATGAAATAGGAAAACAAGTTCAGCTCTTTTGGATCTATATCTGGACACAATCGGTAGAAGTTGATTCAAAATTGAGTAAAAGTTGAAACAAAAGAATGAAGTGAGGTGAGAAGTGTACTGGGGGATTGAGAGAAGACAGCGAGACGGAGAGCCCAAATGTCGAAGAACCCGAACCAAACGGAGACCAAACGAAGTGAACCCACCAGCATCAGCCACCAACTCAACGCCTTCATCTTCACTTGTGCGAGCTATCAATCAGACTCGAGAATGAAAGTTCTAACAAGCGCAGCAGAAGCAAGTCAGCTTTGTGCCCATACGGAGAACCAGTCTGTTGGGTTTTAACCTGACCCGGTATCCATGGATCGACCCAAGGTCGTCAATGGGTTGGAACTCGTAGATCTGTGGGCTGGATGGATAGCTTAATGGCGGCCATTATCTCTCTCAAATTGTTGACCCTTTTTCCTTTTTTCTTTTTTGAAATTTTGATAATTACTATTTTATTCCACGATGGAATATTATCTAAAATCCGGTTTTAGGGGTCATTTGGAATATTAGTAGCTGGATTGAATAATTTGCTCTCTTTTTTCAACTGAAATAATATATTTTTCAAAATAACGACAATTAGGGGAAGGGGGAAAATGATGAGCAATTTATGTGTGATAATAATGATGCCACCTTTTTCTTATATTAAATTAGCTGGACTTAAAAATTCAAAAGACATATAATGACTAAGAAAAATAAAGGGGAAAAAAAGATAATGGAAGACATTTCGAGAATAATTTTCTTCCATTATTATGAAATCTTATCGGTTAAAGTTCGATAAAATTTCAATTTTATAAGTATTTATTTTCATGTTATGTTTGTGTTGTTACTTGAGTAACGCTAAACTTATTTCATGTTTTTTTTTAGTACAAATGATAGTTCAAGATGGAGATATTTTCTCACACACACCCTACCAGAATCAAACTTCAGACTACTAATTTACAAATCAAGGCCTTTTTTCCATTTAGTTAGAATCCGTTGACTTATTTCATGTTATGTTTGTGTCATGCGATCAAATTTTTACCCGATTTATAACACTAAACCCTTTGTCAATTGTTTTTATTTATTTCATAATTAGGAAAATATAAAATGACTAGTTGTGTTGTGTCTCATAAAAATAAAACTTATTTTCTTATTTCTTTTTCTTTTTCAGTTTCAATTTTCTTCTTTAAAAATATGAAATACAGTTAATTTGCTTATTTAATAAATAGTTTCATTTCTTAGTATTTAAATTAACTACGACATTTTGTAGTACTAAAAACAAAAACAATTACATTTTGTAGCATTTTGAATATTTCACTATTCTCTACCTATGTTTTTATAACAACTCTATACGTATAGACCAACTACGTTAACACTTTTAACTTTATAAACATGAAATTTATAGAAAGAAAATCATGACTACTCCTAAGTCTATAAAATAAAATAAAAAGTTGTCACAAGCATAATATCCAGAGGTTGTCAATAAGGCCACCAATCCCACAAATAATACACACAACTCTAAGTAGTAGTACTAATCACAATAATACACAATCAAGTAGTACTAATCACATAATCAACAACTAAGTAGTACTAGTAACCACATAATCAAGTACTTAATAATGATCCACGGCACACAGAGTCTGGACCTGAACCTGTGCCAACCCATCAAAGGATTATAATAAATCTCCACCAACATTGGATTCTTCCTCAAAGAAAAACTCAAACCATGTATTAACAAAATAGCCCAACAAGAATTCACAAATCACAAGAAGGGGAAAAAATTTTTGATTTAAAAATTAAAATCCTGCCTACTCATTCCTCACTGTACAGTCTCATCCGAAAAAAATTATACAAAAATAATAATAAAATTGGCAGCTAAAAAATGCTGTGTTGGCATTTAATCGCCAAAAAAAGGAATCCAATGCCCACCCAACTACAAAACGACGAACCCTACCCCGCGAAACGACAACCCCCGCCTTCCGAATCTACTGCTGCCTTAGCTCCTTCCGGAGCTTCCGAGAAAACGGCCGGCAAGCATCCATGCTCAGATCCATCGCCGCTGCCAATGCCACGTAAGCAGCCGCGTCCTCAGTGCAGGTCACGTGCTGCACCCCGACCTCCACCTCCGGCTTGCTACACTTTCCGACGCCCTCCACCGTCGACGACATCACAAACCCTCTCTGAATCAACTGTGGGAATAACCCGAACCCGAAGTCCGACCCTGATCCTGATCCCGGTCTCGACCCGGTTCCGGACCCGAAGTCGAAGCTGCTGTGAGGGCTGTTCGCTGGAGTGAGGCTCGACGTCAGGTCGATCGAGAACTTCCCGCCAGTTTTCGCGCCGAGGGTCGAGTTCGCGAGCGGCGTGTTC